TGAGGGAATGTGTGAACAGAAACAGCTACAACGTTTATCACAGCGTCCTGGCTGTGGCACGGGCCTTACATGCTGCGTCCTCCTCACCAAGAGTCAAGCGCATTAAGATGGGGAGAGGTGTGGGCAGGCTGGAGCTCCCAAAAGTACAGCCATGGCAGGTACTCTCCTTTACATCAAAAGTTACTCTTGTGTTGCTAGCTATAGTCCCAAAAATCCCCAACAAGCACCAAAATCTGATGTTGCGTAGGGGAAGCACAAAGATCACATGCAAGAACAAGGTTGTGTAAGAATAAGTTATTTATTTCATAACAAAAGCATTGCATAAATTAGTATAAAACCGATAAAAATAGAAGGTGGCTAGATATCTTTTGACCAAAAACGGGCAACAGCAACAGCATTGTCTGTAGCCTCCAACAATTCCTCGTCTGTACATGAGGCAGGGCATAGAGTTGTCTGTTCTGCTCCACAGTCACACAAGGTATGGGATTCTTTTAGGTCATGCCATTTTGCCAGGTTGTCTTTGGATCTGCCCACTCCACTTCTGAGTCTATTCAGGGACTTCCAAGTTGCCCATTCTTGGTTTGGCCTGGAGGAAGACCATCGCGGGGGGCCATCCAGTTGGGATTTCCTGGTTGAGCTGCCCAGAGGGATACCCTTGCTGTTGCTGGGGAGACGCCAAGAGGAGTAGTAGTTCTTATAAAGCTTTTCCTTGATTTGAGCCTTTACTGTTCACCCGCATGGCATATTTTCTTTCTCTGGCAAGGCAATGTGTGGGTTGACCAAATGTGAACGATGCATGATGTTCATTTCATCACACTAGTGAGCTGGACTAAAACTAAACAATTGAATATCTACAGAGAGAAATGTGTGATCAAATGAAAATCATGCGTGGTTCACATTTGATCAACCCACACACTGCCTTGCCAGAGAAAGAAAATATGCCACGCAGGTGAACAGTAAAGAACAAGGAGTTTACTCTTCGTAATTCAGAACAACAACAGCAACAAAACTTTCTTTATATACCGCTCTATCTCCCCGAGGGGACTCAGAGCGGTTTCCAAGTAACATCATCAATACATATAGAGTAAACAACATAAACATAAAATTAACAAAGCAATATAAGCATAAAATTGTCACAGTAACACATATAGATTCAAAGTAATCCTGCCTGTTCAAGGCAATTTAAAAGGCTGGGTCAAAGCTAGTGCAAGCTCAAAATTTCTAGGGGGGCCGGGAAATTAAGTGCAGTTCTATAGCAGGCAACAACTATAACAGGTACGGTCTATGGCTGTTTATTTCCAGGGCCTATTAGAGGGTAATTGTTAAGAAGAATAAGGCCATATTCAACAATGTCTGGGGCTGGGCTACAACTAGTCATTCTCAAAGACTTGTTGAAACCACCAGGTCTTCAGGCTCTTATGAAAGGAGGGGAGGGATGGGGCCTGTCTTATTTCCTTAGGAAGCACATTCCAGAGGTATGGGGCTACCACCGAGAAGGCCCTCTCTCTCGTCCCCATCAACCGTACTTGTGAGGGTACTTTTGGTCAGAAGTGATCTTAATGCAGCTGACACTCAGACAGCTGCACATGTCATAAGCCCCAGCTTCCATTCCTGGCATCTCCAAGTAGAGATGAGAGTCAGTTTTGACAGTGTCCATCACATTTCCCCCAACCTGATGTCCTCCAGGTGTGTCAGATTAAACCCCATCATCCTTCAGCCTTTCACATCCAACACATCAGAAAGGCAGTGTTTGTGGGAGACTGGTGTTGTGATGGCTTAGATCCTAACCTTCCATAAATCCTCAAAGCAGGAAGGAGGGAGACAGAGATGGACCTCAGATTAAGGAGAAAGGGGGAGGACCAAATCTGATGAGATGTTACCTTCCAAAATAACGTGTTGGCACTGACCCTGCTTCTCCCTGATTTTCCTGCTTCATCCATTCCTGAATAACTTTGTGGTCTCCAATATGTCTCCGAGCAGCATCTATTTGGATAAAAATGGGGAACTGCGAGCTAACTTTGATATCTGGAACATGGTTAGGTGGCCCAATGAGTCAGTTACCACTGTGAAATTTGGGACTCTCAAGGGACAGGAATTACCAGGCAAAAGCTTAAATATTGAAGAAGATGCCATGATGTGGCTCAAGGATATTAACCCGGTGAAAAGTGTGCATTATGTGATACTCCTTAACGACATTTTGGGCTTTTCCTGCTCCTTCAATCAAGATAGTCAACACGTCAATTTAGGCTACTGTTGGAGGGATATCTTGTCTGGGGTGGAATATTTGGATGGGTAGCTGATCAATGTGGTCCAATGGAAAATGGGAAGAGTAGATTGTCAGCTGATCATTATACCCTCTTTTATCTAGCTCCTTCTCCCCAAATTTCTTTTCCTTTCCTGTCTCTGGCATAGTAGGGAATGGTTCCTAGAAGTTGCTAATCCTAACCCTGAACATTATTCATTTGGGCTAGGACAGTGGTTCTCAGCCTGGGGTCCCCAGATATTTTTAGCCTTGAACTCCCAAAAATCCTAACAGCTGGTAAACTGACTGGGATTTCTGGGAGTTATAGGCCAAAAACATCTGGGGACCCCAGATTGAGAACCACTGGGCTAGGACTACTAGAACATAGTAGTCCTGGCTACTTCATGCCCCAGCCCTAATATGATGGGGCAACCTCACCCATCCCACCCATAACCGAAAGCCCTCTTCTTTTTTCAAACTATGAGCACCAGGAAAACAAAGAAGTAGACGATGGAAAGGAAGCCCAGAAGAAGAAGACTAGAAGATTAGTTGTCTTCTTTCTTCCCAAATCAGTTCTATCTCTAATTCTTTCCCCATTGATCTTCCTTGCCTTTTTGGGATATAGCCTGCCTAATGCCAGGTGAGAGCTGTTCAGCATTGGAACTCTCTGCCCCGAAGTGTGGTGGAGGCTCCTTCTTTGGAGTCTTTTAAACAGAGGCTGGATGTCCATCTGTCGGGGGTGCTTTGAATGCAATTTTCCTGCTTCTTGGCGGAATGGGGTTGGATTGGATGGCCCAGGAGGTCTCTTCCAACTCTAAGATTCTATTATTCTTGTTGTTCATTCGTTCAGTCATCTCCGACTCTTCGTGACCTCATGGACCAGCCCACGCCAGAGCTCCCTGTCGGCCGTCACCACCCCCAGCTCCTTCAAGGTCAGTCCAGTCCCTTCAAGGATGCCATCCATCCCTCTTGCCCTTGGTCGGCCCCTCTTCCTTTTACCTTCCACCTTCCCCAGCATAATTGTCTTCTCTAGGCTTTGCTGTCTCCTCATGATGTGGCCAAAGTACTTCAACTTTGTCTCTAGTATCCTTCCCTCCAATGAGCAGTTGGGCTTTATTTCCTGGAGGATGGACTGGTTGGATCTTCTCTCAGTCCAAGGCACTCTCAGAACTTTCCTTCAACATCACAGTTCAAAAGCATCTATCTTCCTTCGCTCAGCCTTCCCTAACGTCCAGCTCTCACATCCATAGGTGACTACAGGGTGACTATTATTCTAGGTGTGAGGAAATATTTCATCTGGGTGTATTAGAAAAGCGATGATACACATGATGCCTTCTACATGTAGATGGTGGCATAACTAGGACATATCAGCACATATCAGCCACTTAAACCACAATGTCCTTTTTTAAGTCCACGTCTCATCTTCTTCCAAACACATTCCTAGCCCTTTCCTCCTCCTTCACATTTGTTTTGATTTATGCTCAGAGCCTGCCTCGTTCCATGTGTGTGGAAAGCTGCCAGCCTGGATTCATGAAGGCAGTTCAGGAAGGAAAGCCGATGTGCTGCTATGACTGTCTTCCTTGCCCAGAAGAAACCATCTCTGCTCAGGAAGGTAACGGTTTTTAGGGGGCCTTTCAAGATTTATTTAACAAGGAAAGTCACTTCTTAATAGCACACGTGGGCAGGAGTGGAGGAACTGCCTCATTGCCTCAACAATGCCCTGATTTGGAAGAGGTGGACAACGAGGGTGTAAGCGGACTAGTGTAGGGAGGGATGGAAAGAGGAACAATGGGGGGAGTTGGGGGAGACCCCAAGGGCCATCAGTCCAGTCCCTGCCATGCAAGAACACAAAATCATATCACTCTCAACAGATGGTCATCTGGACTCTATTTACAAGCCTCCAGAGGAGGAGACTCCACCAGATGCCAAGGCAGCATATTCCAGTGTTGAACAGCTCTTATCGCTAGGAAGTTCTCTTAATATTTATCTCTTTACCTGCAATCTGAATCCATTGCTCCATGTCCTAGTCTCTAGAGCAGTGGTTCCCAACTTTTTTTTTACCAGGGACCACTTGATCAGGGACCACTCTCCAACATGAGTACCATAAAGGACATGGGAATCATGTTTAAATATTTGAAAGGATCTCATAAGGAAGAGGGAGCAGGGCTATTTTTTTGCTTCCCTGGAGACTAGAACTCAATGGAGCAATGGGTTCGAATTACAGGCAAAAAAAGAGATTTCACCTGGACAGTAGGAAGAACTTCCTGACTGTCGAAGAGCTGTTCAACAGTGAACTTCTCTGCCTTGGAGTCTGATGGAGGCTTCTTCTTTGGAGGCTTTTAAACAGAGGGTGGGTGGCCATCTGTCGGCGGTGTTTAGATTGTACTTTTCTCGCATGGCAGCATGAGGTTGGCCTGGATGGCTTATGGGGTCTCTTTCACAACTCTAGGATTCTCCTATTTTGGTTCAGACAAAGTATTATAGCATGGAGAGAAAGCTCGCTAAGGATTCTTCACCAACAATCCATGTGAGAAATAAGGGATGACTCTCATGTGTCTGATTTGTGCATTTTACAAAGCTAAGTAAAATATTTCAAGATAATAAGAGAACCACCCTGGACTAAAGAGGAATCATTGTCATTGTCAAAGGGAGAAAAGGGTGGAGGTTCTCAGACCTAGGAGGTGTAGAAGGGCTTTGCTCCACAAAGTGGGATGCCTGATAACCTGTCCAAACCTATATTCTCCTCAAAGTAATGGAAGGTGAGGATTGGAGACCTCTTGGAAACAAGCTTCAATCTGAAAATATCTTTGGAGGGAAGCCTGAGAAACATCATTGAGAGATGAATGATGCCAAATGCACTCTTTTGAGTCTTTATTTTTTATAGATGCAGCTTCATGCACCAAATGCTCACCAGATCGGCATCCAAACAAGGACCAAAATCGATGCGTTCCCAAGCACATCACCTTCCTGTCCTACGACGAATCTCTGGGGAACATCCTGGTGTCCATTGCCCTCCTCTTGTCCGTAATAACATGCATTGTTTTTGGGGTCTTCATTAAAAACCAAGAAACTCCCATCGTCAAAGCCAACAACCGGGACCTCTCCTACGTTCTCCTGGTCTCTCTCCTGCTTTCCTTCTTGTCCTCTTTTCTCTTCATTGGCCGGCCAAGTGAAGCAACCTGCCTTCTTCAACAAATAGCCTTCAATGTCATCTTCTCAGTAGCTGTCTCTTCCCTTTTGGCCAAAACCATCACTGTGGTGCTGGCCTTCCTGGCCACAAGGCCTGGGAACAGGGCGAGGAGGTGGCTGGGGAAAACCTTGGTCAATGCCATTGTCCTGTCTTGTTCTGGTGTCCAGGTTCTCATCTGCGCCCTTTGGTTGGGCCTTTATCCTCCATTCCCAGACTCCGACATGCGCTCCCAGCCTGAGGAGATCCTCTTGAAGTGTAACCAAGGGTCGATGGCCATGTTCTATGCTGCTCTGGGCTACCTGGGCTTCCTGGCTGGGGTCTGCTTCACGGTGGCCTTCCTGGCCCGGGAGCTGCCAGGGTCCTTCAACAAGGCCCAGCTGATCACCTTCAGCATGCTGGTCTTCTGCAGTGTCTGGGTCTCCTTTGTGCCCACCTACCTGAGCACCAAGGGGAAGTACATGGTGGCCGTGCAGGTCTTCTCCATCCTGGCCTCAGGTGCTGGGCTCCTGGTAGGTATCTTCCTCCCCAAGAGCTACATCATTCTCCTCAGACCAGACCTGAACACAAAAGAGCATCTAGCAATAAAAACTAAAGGTAGCACCTAATTCTTAAAGCAGTGGTTCTCAACCTTCCTAATGCCGAAGCCCCTTAATTCAGTTCCTCATGTTGTGGTGACCCTCAACCATAAAATTATTTTTGTTGCTACTTCATAACATTACTTTTGCTACTGTTATGAATAGTAATATAAATATCTAATATACAGGATGTATTTTATTCTAGCATCGGCCACTGTGCTTCCTGAGACACTTGCAAGCACTTGTGTATTTTCTCCCTGAAAACCTGAATAAATGTTTGCGTCTTGGTCCAAGAAACCCCTGTGTCCATCTTCTTACCTGTCCTTGGATTCTGAGGATTTATTCCTGCTAGAGAGTAACATATTTTAATAATATTGAGCATGAAACAAGATTTTTATATATTGAATTACCATTATTCTTATTGCGGTTTTATGAAGTCTTTGAGTAAACCACACAAATTCCATATCTATGGTACGAAGACAGCCATATTAGTAGTAGTAGTAGTATTTCTCCTTGTCTTCTTTGTTAAGTGAGCTTGGTCAAGCCACCCTTGCCCTCCAAAGTGACTGAACAGAAAATCCTTAAATTCAAAAGAGGTTACCCATATCACAACAGCCAGGAAGAAAGTCTTTAATTATCTTTCCAGGAGAAGGGATAAACCTGCCTAGCAACCGATGACGAAGGCAGCCTTGGAGGCTTTTGATAGGCTGAGCTCAAACCGTTCCTCCACTCGGCTTTAGAGAGTCCCTGGGGCAGAGACCCACAATGGAAGGAGGGAAGGGAGAAGTCAAAAGGTCAACAAAAACTCCTGAAACAAACACAATAATCCCAGCTCCACATAAACCCTGATGGCTTTTCCCCAGAATGGGTTTCCCTGCTTCAAACCATCCTGTCCAATCAGCTGTAAGAGCGCCTTCGACGTAACCAGTTGCTGGCAGACTCTGGCAACAAGGGGACTCGGAGCACAATTGGTTTCCTCAAACTGAACCCTGTAGGAGAGTCTTGTCCAATTGGCTTTAAGAGCGCCTTTGACGTCACCAGTTGCTAGCAAACTCTGGCAGCGAGCAGAAGCTGATTTCCTCAAACTTCAGACTTCAAGGAGAATTCTGTCCAATCAGATGAAAGAGCGTCTCTGACGTCACTAGTTGCTAGCCGAATCTGGCAACGAGGGGACTCGGAGCTCAAGCTGGTTTCCTCAAACTCAGCCCTGAAGGAGAATCCTGCCCAATTGGCTTTAAGAGCGCCTTTGACGTCACCAGTTGCTAGCAGACTCTGGCAGTGAAGGGACTCGCAATATAATGGTTTCACCAAATTCAGCCTTCAAGGAGAATTATGTCCAATCTGATGCAAGACCACCTTTGAGGTCACCAGCTGATAGCAGATTCTGATAACAATAAAAAATAATAGTACTAGTATACTAATATATTTTAATATCAAGCCGCTCTGAGTCTCCTTTGTGTGGGATAAATCAAAATATAATATAAATATAATATAATCATGATATAAATAAATATAATCTGATTTCCTCAAACGCACTCTGTAGGGAATATTCTGTCCAATCAGATCTAAGAGCACCTTTGACGTCACTGGTTGCTAGCAGACTCTGGCAGCGAGGGGGCTTAAAGAAGTCCTTTCCCACCCCTTGGTCTGACCCAGGCCTTAGAGATTAACCTGTGTGTCTTCTGATTGGTTGGTGAACTCCCGCTGGGTGTGATGGCAAACGTTCTGAGCATGCGCAGTGTGACCCAAAGGTCAAGCCAAGCAGCCAGTGACTAGAACGTTCAGTCAGTCCCAACTGTCAGTCCACCAAAGGCTCAACAAACAGATCAGCTTCGATGTGGTATCTCTATTTACCATGGTCCCGGCAGCAGACACCATGGTACTCATCAACCAGAGGTCCCCAGAAGACATCACGGCTCTGTTTCACCATTGCCTCACCACCAGTTACTTTCAGTGGGACAATGAATTCTACGAACAGAAAGATGGAGTAGCTCTGGGGAGCCCTCTCAGCCCGGTCATAGCTAACTTCTACATGGAACACTTTGAAGAACAAGCCCTGGAGACAGCAACCAAAAAGCCCACAATATGGTTCAGATACGTGGATGACACCTTCACCATTTGGAGCCATGGAGAAGAAGAACTCAACAGGTTCCTGGACCATCTTAACAGCATCCACCCAAACATCCAATTCACCACGGAAGAAGAAAATGAAGGAAGACTGCCTTTTCTAGATGTCCTAGTCATCCGCAAACCAGATCAACAATTGGGTCACACCGTTTACAGAAAACCCACACACACTGATAGACATCTACATAAAAGCTCCAACCATCACCCAAGTCAAAAAAGAAGCACCATTAAAGCCTTGGCGGACCGTGCAAAAAGAATCTGCGAAGCCCACCTCCTCCAAGATGAACTGAACCACCTCAACTAGGCTCTCCAGGCCAATGGATACTCCACCTCAGACATCAGAAGAGCTGCAAGACCAAGAACAAGCCACGAGAGTCAAGACGAAGACCCACGGCAAAAAAAGCCAATGGGGTTTTGGCCTGCATCAATAGGAGCATAGTGTCTAGATCCAGGGAAGTCATGCTCCCCATGATCTATTCTGCTTTGGTTAGACCACACCTGGAATATTGTGTCCAATTCTGAGCACCACAATTGAGAGATATTGACAAGCTGGAATGTGTCCAGAGGAGGGCGACTAAAATGATCAAGGGTCTGAGGAACAAGCCCTATGAGGAGCGGCTTAAAGAGCTGGGCATGTTTAGCCTGAAGAAGAGAAGGCTGAGAGGAGATATGATAGCCATGTATAAATCATGTGAGAGGAAGCCACAGGGAGGAGGGAGCAAGCTTGTTTTCTGCTTCCTGGAGACTAGGACGCAGGAACAATGGCTTCAAACTACAAGAGAGGAGATTCCATCTGAACATGAGGAAGAACTTCCTGACTGCGAGAGCCGTTCAGCAGTGGAACTCTCTGCCCCGGAGTGTGGTGGAGGCTCCTTCTTTGGAGGATTTTAAACAGAGGCTGGATGGCCATCTGTCAGGGGTGATTTGAATGCAATATTCCTGCTTCTTGGCAGAATGGGGTTGGACTGGATGGCCCATGAGGTCTCTTCCAACTCTTTGATTCTGATTCCACAGGAAAAGTGTTCCTGCCATACATCAAGGGAACCACTGACCGCATAGGGAAGCTGATGAGGAAAGACAACATACAAACAATCTACAAACCCACCAAGAAAATCCAACAAATGCTACGTTCAGCAAAGGACAAGAGGGATCCTCTCACCTCTGCAGGAGTCTACCGTATACCATGCAGCTGTGGACAAGTCTACATAGGGACCACCAAACGCAGCAAGGCCCTGACACGAATCAAGGAAAATGATAGGCACTGCAGAGTAATTCAGCCAGAGAAGTCAGCCATAGCAGAGCACCTGAGGAACCAGCCTGGACACAGCATATCATTTGAGAACACAGAAATGCTGGACCACTCTCACAACCACCATGTCAGACTACACAGAGAAGCCATTGAAATCCACAAGCATGTGGACAATTTCAACAGAAAGGAGGAAACCATGAAAATAAACAAAATCTGGCTACCACTATTTAAAAACTCTAAAATTACAACAGCAAAACAGCAGAGAGTAAACAACCAGGCACATCTTAACACCTCTCAACAAAAGATTCCCCCAGGGTCAGCCAGGCCTTCAAATGCTAATGAAGGTGGTCAGTTGAAACATTCACACCTAGCTCCAGCAGACAAGAGTCCTTTGTCCCACCCTGATCATTCCACAGATATATAATCCCATTTTCCTAGTTCCAACAGACCTCACTACCTCTGAGGATGCTTGCCATAGATGCAGGCGAAACGTCAGGAGAAAATGCCTCTAGAACATGGCCATATAGCCCGAAAAAACCCACAAGAACCTAGCCCAATAAATTGCAGCCGCCATTTTGAAGGCTTCCCTTCTCCTGTCTTTCCTTTTGAGCTGCTTTGTTTTTCAGTCAGAGAAGGCAAAAATGGTTGCTGCCAGCCTCCTTTCCCTCAAAAAACCTCAATTAAAAATCAATTCATTTAGGTTTTGTGAAGGAAAAAGGGAGGGGACTCGGAAAACAGGATGATTTCCTCGAACTCAGCCCTGAAGGAGAATCCTGTCCAATTGGCTTTAAGAGCGCCTTTGACATCACCAGTTGCTAGCAGATTCTGGCAGAGGAGTGGACTCGGAGCAGAAGCTGGTCTACTCAAATTCAGTCCTGAAGGAGAATTCTGTCCAATCCGATGTAAGAGGGACTTTGACGTCACCAGTTGCTTAGCGGACTCTGACTTAAAGCAGTCCTTCCCACTCCTTGGTGGGATATTCTGAAGGAAAATTCTGTCCAATCCGATGTAAGAGCGACTTTGACGTCACCAGTTGCTTAGCGGACTCTGGCTTAAAGCAGTCCTTCCCACTCCTTGGTCTAACCCAGGCCTTAGAGAGGAACCGGCAAACGTTCTGGGCATGCGCAGTCTGTCCCAACGGTCAAACCAAACCGCCAGTGACTAGAATGTTCAGTCAGTCCCAACTGTCAGTCCAGGAAGAAGGCTCAATAGGTTGCAGCTGCCATTTTGAAGGCTTCCCTTCTTCTGTCTTTCCTTTTGAAATGCTTTGTTTTTCAGTCAGAGAAGGCCAAATGGTTGCTGCCAGCCTCCTTTCCCTCACAAACCTCAATTCAAAATCCGCTAATTTAGTTTTTGTGAAGGAAAAAGGGAACTGGAGGCCTTTTATTCTGAGTCTGGACGGTTCTGAGGGGATTCCCTCACAGACTCCATTTCCCTCCCTCCTTTTTAGGTGATTACAGTACCAAATATTGTAATATTAAGGTTATTATTATTATTATTATTTATTTATTTATTTATTATTTATTTATTTACTTTGCTTATATACCTCTGTATCTCAAGCCCGAAGGCGACTCACAGCGGTTCACAAACAGTAAAAACAGTAGAAACAGCAGTGGTTCCATACAACATATAACAATTGACTTAACACATTATCCATAAATTACCAATAAGCAATTACAATGCACAATTATTACGAAAAACAACCGTACCCAATCTTCTCATCATCCAAGCGTAGTCCAGGTTCGTCGTCCATTGTTCCATTCCTATGTTCCATTACCAGATTGCACTAAATTACTCAAACGCCTGCTCAAA